AAGAGACTGAGTACTTGACGTCAAGGTGTAAAGACAACCATCTCTCCATCAATGTCAGCAAAACAAATGGACGGTACGGCCCTGTCTGCAACAATGGTGCTGAGATGGAGATGGTCGAGAATGTCAAGTTCCTGGCAGTGATAATCACCAACAATCTGTCCTGGTTCACCCACTTTGACACTGCGGTCAAGAAAGCACAGATAGGAGGCTAAGGAAAATTCAGCATGTCCAGAAAGACATCTCCAAATCTTTAAAGATGCACCAATCAATGCATCCTACGTGGTAGTAAGGCAACCGCTTTTCTGAAGACCGAAAGAAACCATAGCTCAGTCCATCATGCAAACCAGCTTCCCATCTATTGACTCCATCTATACTTCCCGGTGCCTTGGAAAAACAACTAACATAATCAAAACCCCCCTCCCACCCTGGTTATACTCTCTTCCATCCTCTTCCGTCGGGCAGAAGATATAAAAGCTTGAAATAATGTACAAACAGATTCAGGAACAGCTTTTTCCTTGCCTGTTATCAGACTTTTGAATAAACCTGTTTAACATTGAATATTTCTCTCTCTCTCTCTGCATCTTCTTAGCAGCTGTAACACTGTATCCTGCACTCTGTTCTGTTACCCTGATGCACTTGTATAGTATGATCTGCCTGCAAAGCATGTAAGACAACACTTTTCAGTATATCTCAGTACACGTGACAGTAATAAATCAAATCAAAATCAAATCAAATGTGCTGAGCATGAAAGAATATTGGACATTAGTGAATGTTGCAAATGGCCCTGTCTACAGCCTTGCAATCTCAACATCTGCACCATTGTAGCAGTGTGTTTTCTGGCTAAATGTTTTGTTCCTTGCATGAGACCCTCTATTTGCATAAGTTTGGAACATTCCTTGCTCTCTGAAGGTTACACCAGAATCAAGTTTAACCCTCCCCTCCCACCATTAGGAAAGCTTTAATTGAAGATAATGGGCTGAATCTTACCGTATTTTGACAGAATGTAATTTTCATCAATTTTCAAGGAAGCTTTCTCTCTGCGAGACTTGGTGAGATTTCTCAAGCAATCATCCTAAACTCGCCTCATTAGATACCTAACACTCCCTGTGGCACTCCTCTCATTTGATGCTAGCTGATTCTCTCACTGTAGCCAGACATTCTCACTAAATCTGCAATATCCTGGGATTCCTGATGCTTGTACCATCTTTAAAAGGCCGTTGTGCATTTGGTCAAGCACTGTCAGTTCAGAGTTGCCCAGCATGGTTTGTGACATTCACCCTGGACGTGGCAGCCAGGGACCTGGAGGATGGGGTGATGCAGAGGGAAGCCTGTCTTCTTCCTCAGGACTGGCAGAGGAGGCCATGACATTAGACCCTGCCAACTGGTCCAAGGTTGCCATCCTGGCCAGTGCACTGTCAGCTGTCTGGAGGAATACACAGCAGAATAAGAATGAATGCCAAAGATCTTCTCTGTTCCTGCCAGCTTAAGTGCCACCATTTTCTCTCTGTAACTTCGCATTCACAATCGCTGCCTATTGCACACACTTTCCACCAAGGCTGATGCTTTACAACTCTCATTAATGCATGCAAAATTTTCTTTCATCAGTTGACCTCACCCACACCCCAGCCTCCCACATCACTAACCCTGCATGACCTCTGGGCCGCCTGCTCGCTCACTTGCGAATCTTTGTCTCACCTGCTAAGCTATGCCATCCACTTTTATCTCACTCAGTCTTACCCTTTGTCTCGTTCCAGTCAGAAAAAGCCCACAGTACGGCAAAGAGAGTCAAGATAGGCAATGGGATGCCTGGCATTCTGCACCTCACTTCCGAGGAGGAGAAGAGGATCCTGACCATGACTGCCCAAGTGGCCAAATAACTGAACCTAAGCTACTGGACTGATAATAGAGGCTGTCCTTGACTTGCTGTGCTAGGAACCCCGATTAAAAGACATTGAAAGATAATTGAAAGAGCAACCCCACCACCACCCGCCCCCCCCGCCCCTCCCCCACCATTAGAATTGGAGACATGGCCATTTGATTAGAGCATACGCAATGTATTTGGTGCATACGCTGCTGACACATGGTGCAGGTATGAAATTGACATAACATGGTGCCGTATAGCAACATATCCACCCCCTTGACTGATGACAACCACGACAGTCTTCCTGACTTTGTGGCTAAAGGCAAGTCAAGGCAGACGTACTTTGTGCCTCTGGGCAATAGGGATCCCATGGCTTTCTATGAAATTGCATATCTTGTCAGTGTTTTTCGGGTAAAATATTTGATTTGAACCTGGTTACATTCTGCCTAACAGTCTTGCTTTGGAACACAGTGACTATTATGTTGAGTCATTTTCTTGTCCCTGATGAATAATTACTCAAATAACTCATGTAGGACATATGCTAAGAGAGCTTGCAACAAATGAAAATAGTACAATAATGGTATTTTCTAAGTGAATTATTCCTACCTTTTATAATGCCTTCAAATTCTGGAACATCTCCAGAATGGTTTCAACATTAGGTCAAAATATGTTTTAATTAAGGTTCATTGATTAATTAATTGCCCACTTAAATGATCATTCGACTCCACATTCTTACAGAACAGCATTTATAACTCATCTGATGTCTCCAAAACTTATTTCTCAACTTCACTTCAGACAAGAAATTATTGACCTATTGTTTTACGTACTAACATGAAGTCAGAACTAGATAGCATTACCATTATGCAATTGCTGACAGCTTTGTTGTTTAGTCAAAGTTTAACAATTACTCATCCATAATGGAGAAAGAGCTATACCAAACCATTGACCAAACAACGTATGCTGCTAATCCTAGTTAGATTCCAATTGATGGTATATTCATATTTGCAGTTGTTCTTGCATGAACTATATTATTGTTATCTGGAGTGAATAGAAAAACAGCACTGGGACTGATCATATAGCTAGTATTATGTCTCTATATGGAGCTGCTCTTCATATTAAATTTGTGTTAATTCACATGTGTGTGAAGGATAAAGAATGATAGCATGCTGTCTGTTCTTGTAGGACTTTCATTGTTCAACTTTTTTGCATGCTGCACAGTACATATATGTGTGTTGCAAAAGATGTGCATATACATATTCACAGGTCATGCAAAGTTAAACTTTGGAAAGAAATTCGGCAAGACAATTGGTTAAGTACTTTCAGATAAACTAGTTCAATGACAGCTGCCTCTAGTATTCCTATGCCATATGATTAAGGTATCACATGCAGCATCTGCAGTACCTTGTTGACATTTTTATATATTCTCAATCTATGGGGCTTGCCTGCCACCTGGAGAGCCCTGCCTCACCACCTTTAGGGAAGCCTCAATATATTAAATGCCAATCAGCGCAGGGCTTTGCCAGGATCGGGAATTCTGGGCGAGGACATCCTGCCTGCTGACAGCTGCTAGACAAACAGAAATTGGTGGCTTTTCATTGATTAGCAATTCCATGGCGTGACCGCGGTTATGGCAGGTACTCGACCCAGAATCAAGAATTGACCGAGTGAGGGATAGCACAAGGTGCTTGAGGAACTGGTTTAAAAGCATGGGCAAAAGGGTGACATTGAGCAAGGCACCCCTTCCCAATGCCAGGTCCCTTGATCTGGCACTCAGTGTCTTTGAATGATGCAGGGCATGCCTATCCCTGAATGCCCACAAGTAACACAGACAAGGTTTTATTTCTTGGGTTCCCACATCACCCACTAATCACTGCATCTACCCCAGTAGTGGCAGGATAAGACCCTGAAGTAAACATTAATTATCCATTAAAGGGACTCCTATGACACTGGGGTTGGAAGGGCATCCATGGACCTTTCAACAACAAACTCAACTGGAGCAGATGCAGGAATATAATGGGAGTGCCATATGCCTCGATTTGATTAAATGCCCCACTCTGCCACCAAACGTGCCAAGTGAAAGGGCATTAAATTCTGCTTATCATTTTTCACAAACTATTAAGAGTGTACTCCTAAAGTGAATGGAAAGTTTGAACGCAGAAGATATTAGACAATGTTTAAGATTCCATATTGTGTGGGGTGAATTATAAGTGATGCCGTGTAACTACAAGACATTGATTTCAGGGTTTTTATATTTCTCATTGATTAATATTAGGTAACCGAGCTTGATTCTGAGTGTCCATGTTTGTGTAGTGTGTCATTCCATTACTCGCCCAACTGTTGAACATTCTCATCCCAGTAACATCCTCAAGAGAAAATGCAATCACCTTATCATGGTATGGGGATAACTGTTAAAATTGATGAAACAAATTCTAGTCTGCATTGCCAAATACAACAAATTTTGTGTTAGAAGAGATGTTCAAGTTGCATAATATGCTGAAATGCACAAAAAGTTATCTTTATGCAGAACAGATTAATACCTAGCTTATGTTAAGATAGTTAACCTTATCATGGGTGTCAGGTATTTGTAAAAATATCATAAGTTAGAGAAGAATTAGCATCTAGGTATTCAGGTGAGTCAGTATTAAAAATGGTCAAAGTTCTCAATTCTTACTGCTCTCCAGTGAGCCCAGCTAGACTTGTACACATGTTGAATATGAGATCAGGTTCAAGTGTGATGCTCCCTTCAGATGAATAGTCTGTCATCATTCTCTGCTTGTAGATGATATCTCTTGTGCATGATGGTAGAAAACAGCTAGTGTTCTTGGTATTGCATGCCAACAAAGAGTCAATACTATGGGAGTAGAGGAGAAAAAGCGATAATAAAGGAAAAATTCTCTAAACCAGGGAGCTACGCCATTGGGAAAGCAGGGAAGGAGAGTTGGATTGCCTCAATACAATAGAAATTTGGGAGGTTAATGATTTTTTGGAAGCACAAAAATCAACAATTCCTTGATTTGGAATCCTCAGTCACACACGTACCAATATCTTTCAAGTAATAGCGTTTCCATGTGAATGATCTTTCACCTGCTAAATCTTTCTGGACAATTAATAATGTTTTTGCCTGCTTTATGTTTTAAAGATTATGGCATGGGAGAAAAAGAATGAAAAAAACAAAACGGAAGAGAAACTGGTAAAGGCTAATCAGGGAGATAAGAATATAAGATTACCATTTATACAAACCAATATTTAGATGTGATTTAAGTCTTACATATATAACTGGATAATACTGAGTAAGGAGTATATAGATGAGACTTTTCAAGAATAAGAATAATAGTTAAAAGCATTTTATGATACCGGAGATTTACGACGCAAATGCAAATTATAAATGTGGCCTTGGGCACTGAAACTGCTCCCTGCTTTGCTCTTTTTCTAATACATAGGTGAAACTCTGAGAGCAGGAATGGGAAATTTAAATGTTGAAATTTAAATATCTGATTGTTAAAATTTTGCAGTAATCATATAGTAATCATGAACAAATCTCCAGCGATGAAAAAGTTATCTGAGAAGAGATGTTGTTCTGGATGATTGAGCTCAGAGTTTTTTTTTCCTTATTCTTTCATAGAAAATGGGTATCACTGCCAAGGCCAGCAATTGTTGGTCTTTTCTAATTTCCTTTGAAGTGATTGGTTCCCCAGGCTGTTTCAAAAAGGCAATCAACCACATTGTTGTATAAGGATGGAAGATTTCATCCCCTAAAGGACCAGAAGGATCTTTACAACAATCAGTGATGACTTCACAGTCACAATTACTGGAACTGGTTTGTAATTTCAGAATCTCACCATGGCAGATGGTGAAATTTGAATTCAATAAAAAGCTAGCCCAGTGACCGTGTAACCATTTCCAACTGTTGCAAAGACCTATTTGGTTCCCTAATAACCTTTAGGAGAGGAACTCTGCCTGATCTCGCCTACATGTGAATCCAGATCCACGGGAGTGTGATTGATTGATTGTTAATTGGCCTGTGGGCTTTTTGTGATGGGCAATAAATGCTAGCCTAACCAGCTATACCCACATACTGTGAACGAAGTTTTAAAAAATGGATTGGATTGGAACTGACCGTGAACCTGGATGTCAGGATCACAGTTTCATTAACATTACCACTCCACCACCATCTCCTCCTAAATGGTCTCCCTTGTTCATATCACTCTTTTGAATACAGGACTACTACTGTTCCCCAGAATACTTTATTAGACTAACTCCAATAAGACTCTCAATATTTCTTCAGCCTCCTACAAGAGAAGCTGGAATGTACTGTACATCCCATGATGACACAAGAATATGGCTCTGTAGGTGTGGTGGGGTTCAGGTGAGGTGGACGTTTGCGAGCCAACCCAGTCTCATTTAGGGCATTCATGATAGCTGCTGGTAGATTTGAAAAATAGCTGTGCCTTTGATTAAACTTCCTAATTTTCTCTTTGCTCAACCTGCTGTTTCAACTCTCTAGAAACAGACTGCCAAGTCTATGCCATGACAAGAAAAGCAAAAGGAGTTTGAATGACCAAACTTGAAGATTTCTAGAATTAGATTACTTTTCATCCACATTGCCTGTGTAATTGCCATATCTTATAATTTTTAAACACCTAAAAAAAGGTCCTATTCTATGCAGCTCCAAAACACAATAACACTTTCCAACACTTAATTTGAAAAAAAACTTCCAAAAGAAGAAAGAAAATACATTGCAACACTACACCTCTCGAGCATTTCATTGTTTCACATACAATTAATTACTTGAAAGCGCAGCAGATGTTTCGGAGGTAAATGTGATCGTTGTGTTTTCACACATGATCCCGGAACTAACAAGCTGATTGAGTCACTGGTATTGATTTTGGGAATGTAGGTGAAGATTCTGGAAGAAAATATTTACTTTGAATGGTGTTATGAGATTTTCAAATCTATATCTAAATCTAAATCTAAATCCCAGTTGGCCCGTCTTAAAGTTATTTTTCCTGGATGCAACTGGCACGTTTTGCAGATTTGCTGCATTAAACTGCATAAAAACAGTCACAACATTCTATAGAGCTAATAACTGTGCGAAGAACACAAAATGTAATGGATGAGGTGTTAAGAGTAATGAATAAGAGAGTCTTCACCATTTAATTGCTACAGTTGTCGCATTGGAATTCGAATTTGATTGCTGCACTTATTAAAATGCAACTCTGCTTATGTAGGCCTTTCCATAGTTTAGTTTGGAAGTGTGTTGATAGGTTTAGTGTATCTTAGGCATATAATTCATCTCAAACTTCTTCATCCTCCACCCTCTCCACCTCCAGAAACACAGTGGGACACAAGAATAATTTTTTACATAGAGGGTGGTTCGAGGGTGGAACGAATTTCCTGAGAAAATGGTGGATGCGGGCACACTTACAATATTTAAAAGATAGTTAGATAATTACATGAATAGGAAAGATATGGAGGGATATGGGCCAGGAACAGGTAGCTGGGGCTAGTTTAGTTTGGGTTAATGTTCAGCATGGACTGCTTGGACTGAAGAGTCTTTTTTCGTGCTGTAACTGTATAACTCTAGTAAAGTTTGTCAGATTATCCCCTTACCATTATTGTTAAAAATACTGCTGTAAAATAAATATCCTCGGTTTGAAAAGTTTTGCTTTTCCTTATTGGTTTACTGATCCTTTTTTTTAATGTTAAGCAACCGTCATCGGCGTACTGAACAGGAGGAGGATGAGGAACTACTTTCTGAAAGCAAAAAAACATCAAATGTTTGTGTTCGATTTGAAGAGTCACCATCCTGTAAGTATGAACTTCATTTGATCTTCGGGATTGTTCATTGTAGGTAAGGGCCAGATTTTCATACCTGGCAGCCTATCAGGCTTCTGGGTTCTTTCCCCAAGATAAGCTGAATTTTTTTTTTAATATCTACCAGATATGTCTATGACATGAATTGTGTCCCATCTATCCCTGTCTCAACAGTTGCAAAGTCTTTCAGTGCCTGTAAGTGGTGCTGCTGCACTTAGAATAGTTGATGTTGCTTAATAGTACTGCAATGAATTAGCATTGCCAACAGAATTTAAATCACATTTTTCTTTTCTCATGTTACTATTGACTGATCACATTTACTCAAGGGCTGAAACTTGTGAAAGATTTGAGTGCTGAATAAAGAACAATAGCCTGACCTTGTGTAAGAGGGACTTTGTTAAGCAGTGATTAATTTTTAATGTGCACATTTTTCTTACTATAAAAAAAAGTAAACATACTAAAATATAGATATTCAGAATCTCAGTTGACTGTATTACCTGGTGTAATGATGTTAAATTTCATAAGGCCATTATTATTCATGCCATTTTATGAATAACTGCCTTGAGTCGAAATGGGGTTTGTGCAGGGGGAGTGAGAGAGATTCATTGTGCTGATATTTCGTTTGAAATTCCATTGTGTATTTGCAGCAGCTTTTTTTCTTAAACTTATTGCCAGAAGAAATTTAATTTCCCAGCAATTCTTTTGTGACAAGTGAAAATAATGGAATTCTAAGCTCTATGGTCAAATGATGTGCTATTGCAATCTTTTGAGGATGGCACTGCTTTATAAACTGAATTCACTTACAATTTTATAAACTTTGAGAGGGTTTTTAAGTAACTGGTGATTAAATTCTATACTGGATTAAATTTGCAAGTTTGTAAATATGGGATTAAAAAAGCATTTTTTTCACTTATTTTTTGTATTCTAGATGTGAAATCAGGAACACTTCGAGATTATCAAATACGAGGGTTAAATTGGCTGATCTCCCTTTATGAAAATGGCATTAATGGTATCCTTGCTGATGAAATGGTATGATTGAAACTTTGAAGATCAGAATTGCTGGTGAATTTATCTGCTTTTAAGTGGTAAAGTTAAACTGATAGTTTTAGGAGGACCAGATTAATGTTGAACATAAGCTTTCTGATTTTGATGTTAAACCTGATGGAATGTAATTCATCAAGTACAAAATACAATTAAAATTAAAAATTGTACAAAATATAATCAAAAATTCAAGCTAAATAATGGAAAACAGGGAGGGAGGTCTTGTGACACAGTAGTAGCCTTCTTACTTTTGGGCTATAAACTGAATTCAAGTTCAGGAATTGATGGCCACTGATGGTGTGTTTATAAAATAGTCAAACAAGTTGATTATCAGCCTGTAAATCTTTCCAGGGTGCCTGATGGTAGGTGATAAGAGAGAAAAAAATTGCTGGCTAATCATTTTGTGAAAAGCAACAGCAAATTTCTTTGCCATGCATAATCCTGCAGCAAACCATTGGAAGTCAATGGTTGACAATGCCCTCTTAGGGCATGGTGCTGGACAGGAAGTGAGAGACATCACTGCCCATCTACAGTAGTTCCGGAGTAACAGAAGGATGTGCATCTCCTGCTTCAGACTTGCTTTCAAAATCAGTCAGCACCAGGATGATATGTTCATGCACCGTCATCTTCCTTATTATATACAGGTTACTAAAGGTTTTCATTGGGAAAAGAGGTGCCAAGATGGGGTGGCACGGTGGTCCATTGGTTAGCATTGCTGCCTCACAATGCCAGGGACCCGGGTTTGATTCCACTCTCGGGCGACTGTCTGTGTGGTGTTTACACATTCTCCCCATGTCTGCGTGGGTTTCCTCCGGGTGCTCCGGTTTCCTACCGCAGTCCAAAAATGTGCAGCTGAGATGGATTGGCCATGCTAAATTGCCCACAGTGTTCAGGGATGTGTAGATTGGGTGGGTTATAGGGGGATGTGTTGGTGTGGACTTATTGGGCCAAAGGGCCTGTTTCCACACTGTAGGAATTCTATTTAAAAAAAAGATTGTAGCCGTCACGATCATTTGTCAACATGAAGAAAGCAAACACAAATGACTTGCTTATTTCCTTTGTCCATTTTAACATTGCTTCTTGTTGATGTCATCTTGAGAAAGGATTTAATGGCTTATTTGAGGGATGATAGCTTCCCATCTCTCACCATAAAAATGAAGAATTGCATGTTTTTGACGTTTTATACTTTAGTTTGTTATATATTTGGCATTGTTGTAAATCTTAGACCTTTGAATTAGTTTCGCAAGTTGGAATGATTTACTATTTTGAAAATAATTCCATTTCTAAAATGTTACTATCTTTTATTAAAAAATAGGGTCTTGGTAAGACACTACAGACCATTGCATTGCTGGGTTACCTGAAACATTACAGAAATACACCTGGGCCACACATGGTTTTGGTACCAAAGTCCACGTTGCATAATTGGATGAAAGAGTTCAAACGTTGGGTTCCATCACTTCGTGCAGTTTGTCTTATTGGAGACAAAGATCAAAGGGTAAAGAAATCTATTTTAGGAATATTTCTAAATATACCCTGTATGTGCACGCTTTCCTCTGGGACACCATTTAATATTTGCAGGAATCTGTTATATAAATGATTGCTAAAAAATTCTATCTGTAGAATTCCCTCTTCAGCTTTCTCCTACTTTCCTTTTTGAAGACACTGACTCTCACCTCCAGTTCTCTGCTTAAGGAATCATTCTTCATATGTGAAATGAGATGGAGGGTGTTGGCAGTCTTGGGATCATGAGATCATCATTGCTGAGTCAAACTGTCTAATCACCTGATTTTAGCACAATCACACTTCACAGCAGGTGTCACTGGATTTGTCAGCATGGAACTAATGGTTGATGCATTTTCTGCTTCTGCGCTGAGGTTGGTAAGACCAATTGTTTCTTCACACTGACCCACCTGAGAACAAACTCAGCTCAAACTAAGACTTGAAATCGAGATCTGTTGGTCAGTGTGGCTCAGACCACCCTTACTAACTCAATGATTTTGTGTGTACAAACACAGATCTATTTCCAAATCATAATCATGACCTCTTTTTGTTGAAATACATGCCTATTTACTTATTCACAGTTATCCCCTTGAGAACTGTAGGAGCTTTTCACACTTCCTTGAGTATTTACAATGATATTAAATCAAACAATGTGCTTTTGAATGATTTTCAGTACTTTTGAGCTGACCAGAGTGCCACTGTAGCATAGAGATCAACATTTGCAGATGATATAAACTTAGAGGGTGTTGCCAGTTGTGATGGGGATGGTTGTCAATTTCAGCAGGTACAAAGGTGGACAGGATATTGATGTAATTTATGTAGAGGAGTATGAAGTATGTTTTAGAGGAGGTATGAGAATAAATGGACACTAATTGATAATATTTTAAGATAAACAGGAGATAAAAAGACTCAAAGAAGTATTTGGATACAAATATTTGAAATCTAGAAAGCAAGTGAGTAAAGATATATATTTTTAAAGCAAATAGAGTGCTAGTTTAACAATTAGGGTTGTGGAGTGCAAGCCCAAAGAGATAATGCTAAACTTACACAATTAATTTGTTAGGCTGTATTTAGAATATTGCATCATGTTATAGAACAAAGTAGGAAGATCAGAGAAAATGTGCAGAAACGGCTTTAGTTATGAGGGAAGACTAAAGAAACTCAGATTCTTTCATTAGGTTGTAGAAATAAAGTACAGAATGCTAAAAAGAAAACTGTTAAAATTACAAATAATTTTGACCAGGCAAGGAAGGAAAATGAAATGCTGCAGGCTTCTAACCAGACAGCTTAAATCTAAGGTTATCTTCATAAAGAAAACAGAGATTAGGATAATGTGGAAGTGCCGGTGTTAGACTGGGGTGGGAAAGGTCAGAAGTCACGCAGAACGAGGTTATAGTTCAACATGTTCATTTGAAATCACAAGCGTATGGAGTGCTGCTCCTTCGTCAGGTGAAGAAGCAAAGTATACAGGCACAGAATTTGTAGGCAGAGAGATCAAAAGGTCATACAAATGGTGTGAGTGGAGCGTCGAGTAATAATTCTCTGCACGTGATCAAAAATGTCAGAAGGTGTGAGTAAAGTGTCAACAGCTGAATAGTAAGTGAAGGGAATGACTTATTAATCCAATTAATTGAGGCAGAGAGATAATTACAAAAAATTAAAAATAAGGTGGTGCTGGAGACAAACCAAATGGCTAGAATAACATTGATTGATATAAGAGTTGCATGCCGTAGGTCTAACCAAAGTAATGAGTAATCCAAAACTGTACAAACTAATTAAAGCAGAGAGATCATAACAAGTTATCAAGGTGATAAGGTTAAAACAGGACAGTAAGGAAGATTTACAAATACAGAACAGTATAGTGGGGTTACATTTGACACGACATGAACCCAAGATCACAGGAGATTAGGATAAATTAAGGTATGCCTGACTCCATTAATAACTCCTAAGAGGATGATGTATAGATGTAAAAAAAAGAGATCTGAAGAATAATATGTAAAAGGACAGGAGAATAGGATTAAGTTGGAATGGACACCATGGATCAAAATGCCCTTTTCCCTTTGCCATAGACTTTTCAAAGCACAGAAGATCATAGGTTCAATTGTTCATCTGACGTAAATTGGTGAAGGCTTGTCAGAACGTCAAAGGGCTGCATTAGGTGGCCTTAGTAGAGAGAGGAGGCAAAATATCAGCCGGAGTATCTACTGCTCACCTCTGCTCTGGAATACATGTCCCTCTGTAGGAACAGAACAAAATTTAATGGTTGCCAATACTTGCTGCCTCACATCATGCATGAATAATGATTCTTTTTTACTGCAAAGATCTGTTAAGAAGTTGACATTTTCATTACCTCTTAGGACTTTTAAAAAAATTTTGGTAGTCAAACAGGAAATTGGGTAGTAATTTGTGGACTTTTTCATGATGTGTCATGACATGACAAATTATTTGCTTTAAGAATGGCCAATTGAATGAATGACTGCAGGGTGTTGAGTAACTGGAACTGGAAACTTTCTCAGTAGGACTGAGAGTCTTGAAAAGAAGAGTTGATAAATTGGAGGGGATCAAACTATCAGCAGTACTTCTCTTAATCTGGAAATTTTGTGCCTCTGTTCTGAACGTACTGATGAAAGATTTATAACCATGATTATATTTTCATCAAAACTTATTTGACTTGAAACCAGGCCGCATTTATTCGAGATATTATGATGCCAGGCGAGTGGGATGTCTGCATTACATCATACGAAATGGTCATAAAAGAAAAATCGGTTTTCAAGAAGTTTAACTGGAGGTACTTGGTAATTGATGAAGCTCATAGAATCAAGAATGAAAAATCCAAGGTGAGAATATTACCTAATGATATTAATATCTAAGTGTAACCTTCATCTGAGCAACTAACTGGATAGAGAGTGAAATGAAGGGGAGGTCTCTGAGGGAGAGGGGACATTTTTGAATCCCAAAGGGATTTCATGAATATTACAAGGATATGTTGCAAAAAATAATGAACAGGTTTGTCTGTATCTTGAGTAAAAAGACTAATGGAAATCTTTTAGAGAAGTGAAAATAGCAGAAAATGGAAATAGTATAGTAGTAATTGTAATAATGTAAAGGAAAATAGGTAGTTGCCACTCAAAGGTGAGATTCCAATGTTGCCATTTAAGGCTTGATTTAAAAAACACAAAAATGGTTCTCAATGTTGAGATTCTAGTTTTCTCATTCTTTCTGTATTGTTCCACCTTTTTTTGCTATTGATCATGCCACGAGGAGGAGAAAGCTCTGCCTTTCAGCCCCAAAACTAATTTGTTTGGATTCTACCAACAGGCACTCAGTGCCTCACCTCAACATTGCCTTGGTAGCAACATAAACAAAAGAGCTATACTTGGGGTGAAGTGAGAATGACTGCATTTTCATGAGGGCGTCATTTGAGAAAGTGTAGCATTAAGGGACCCCAAGTAAAATTGAATTCAGATGGAAAAGCCTTCCTCTGATTACTCCCGCTGAGAATACATAAGATGGCGGGTGAAATCACTCCTGATACCCTTGGTTGTTCCTGAAAATTAAATCATGAGAAAGATCCATTGGAGAAAAGTCACCTCTCTATAGTGGAGAGAAACCTAAAGTGTGAAGAGCTGCTCCAGTCGAAGATTCTGTCACCCCCTAGCTCACTTGTCCATTCACAGATTGGCTCTCTTAGACACTTGTTGCTCCTTCAGAGATAGAATCTGTGTTTGGATGAGCAACAAGAGCGGGAGGGAAGCACTCGATGATTGGATGATCGGCTGGCAGCGAAGATCTAGGAGGTGGCTGGAACTGTGTGTATTCAAGAGGTGAGTATCCATCAGGGCCGAGCCCAGATATGAGCACGGAAGGGAACAGGGTCCAAGTGTTAGCAGGCAGAAATCGGACATATGGGTAAGGAAGAGGGAGTAAGACCACAAGTGAGAGCTCAGAAAATGTTCACTGACACTAAAACCTGCTACTTTCATGTGCTGCAGCCTGCACCTGTTATTTAATATTCTGTCTTTTAAAAAAAGTTATCTTAGTGTTACACTTTGTCAAACCTCAGAGACTGAGTAATTATGTTTGAACTGTTGCACTGAAATGTGTAGTGTCTGGACAGGTATTTTATTGAATTTTTGATTTTGAAATATTTTTATAACTCAAATGTTGTGGGAGCGAGTAGGAACTGACTGATGACCAGGAGGGGCAAAGACAGTTGGCAGCTACGTTATTCTTGATAAAATAATCAAATAGCCAGAGAGAGATTGGGCATGCCTTTGATATTTATCTACATACGAAAAACCAAGCCTTTACTGCCTGTTGTGTTTTAAAGAATGCTTAGTTCATTAAAGTCACAACATACTGGTACTGCATGGGTACTCAAACTAAAAAGTTACAATAGCAATTCAAGACTTCAATAACATCAAGCAGTTCAAGATGATATTGCTGAACCTAAACTAAAAGAACTTGTGATTACTGGTGGCGTTTCAGCAAAAAAAAAATGGCTGTGCTGGAACAAGGTGTAAATATATTGTATATATGATGTATGGTGAGAAAGAGGGTCTGATTACAAGTGTATGATCGCATTTTGGAAAGATCATTTGGAAAATTTATTTATCAGAAATTATCTAGTGTTATTATTTATAGATTTTAATTTAAATGATTTAATAATATGTATGTATACCATTATAATTGCTGTTGTGCCATTAGTAGTATTGTGCTGTCTCTCAAGAAAGAAATCCTAAGAACATTCAGCCGACTTGCAGGTAATGTTACGTGTCTGCATCATCCAGTGGAGGAGTTAGAAAGCTTGAGAAAGTTGCCCCAAAAATCAAAAATTATCCACAAGAATGTCTCAAAAACAAACTAGGTTGACCCCTGGACTGGAGTCAAAATCAGAACAAAGTAAGATCATTGTTAGAGGTCGATCAATAATCTAGGACATTACTGCAGGAATTCCTCAGAGCAAAGTCCTGTGCTCAGCTTTTGCAGCTGCTTCATCAGTGAACTTTGCTCCATTATATGGATGGGTCAGGATCCAGGAACTCAGTCGTTAACAGCACTGTGGGAATACCTTCACAATGTGAGTGATAGCATTAAGGAGAAAGGCTGCTGAGACCCTCTTTAGGATAATTATGTATTCAAAATAAATGATGACACCACTCCATAATTAGATAAAAAGGACATCTCTGTAAGGTGTGTAGTCAATAAAAAGCCTGTGCGGGGCACAGAACTGCCAGTGGAGTGTTTTCCAGGGTGTATCTGACTGCTGTGTGCCGACATGGTCAAAAGCACAAATCATGGCCACAAAGGTTTCAACCCTGCAGTTTCATAACAAAGAATGAATTTCAATTTAAGATGATGTGATAAGCCATGTTTACCACATTGCAAGGTGGAGAAGAAAAGTTCACTGGACAGCATGTCTTTCATATGGTACTACAGATGTATAGTGTAATTTGGATAGCTTTGCTGTTAAAGGATTTGAGCTGATCCACTTCAGAAGTAAATGATTCTGTAGCATCAAATGACATTGTGGTTGGCATCTACCGTGTACCAAGATGCAGCAAATCTTTTGGGGATGAGGTAGTTCCATATGATACATTTTTGTTAATGTCTGAAGAGACCAATGCATGAGGGGCAGGTACTGTCATACGGGTTATCAGGTGCTGGGTTATTGTTTTTGGCGTTGGTTCTAATGTTCCCTCTCAGCTGCCACTCCAAGGGTTCACACAGGCCAATCAACATGCCCATCACCAGTTCCATTGACTTCCAGTTTTAGAAGTGGCTGCAGCACATGGACCTCAGAGGTTGGCACGTGTTGTCAAGCACTTTTGCCACTAATTGCTGGGCAGTAGGTGATATTGTTTTTTCCATTTTATTAGCATTTTCCATTTCAGATGTGAAAAATCGTTGTTTCGTACCTTCACGTCAGGCTTTGGAGCTTTAGACATCCTACTGGTCTTCTGACTTCAACTATTTTAATTAAATTGAATTGGATTTATTGTCACATGTTCTCTCATGATTACAGTGAAAAGTTTACACGTTACGGTGCCATCTTAGGTAGAAAGGTACCTAGGTACAGAATCTTAGTTACAAAGCAGAAAATAAGAAAAACAAAGTTTAAAAACTTAAACATTATTGTCCTCCTTACTCATGAATAGAAAAACAGACAAAGTTAACAGTTTAAACACCACAGTCCGTAAGTGCCTGGCCATGTTTGGCTCGCACTCGTCACAATGCCTAACCCCCAGCCTTGGGCTGCCTGCTTCCACTCTTGCCGCTGTCTGCCCTGGGCTGCCTGATCCTGCTGATGCTGCCTCCTTTCATCACCACCACCAAAAAGGAGAAAAAGCTGGAGATGAAAGAAAAAAGAAGAAAGAAAAGGTAAAAGGAGGATGACGCAGCCATCCTGGTGCTGGGGAGCAGATGGATGGGCTCAGGTGCCACAACACTGCCTATCCTGCTGCTCCCGCAATCTTGGAATACAGAAAGTTCTTGAGGATGTGGTATCTTCAATCCTGTGAGCTATCCCAGTTGTCTTTGCTCAATGGATGCTGTTATACTTGGGAATTTTGCCTTTGTAAGGACGGTTGCTTTCATGACTTTGTTCTTCCAGGATACACTGAGACTGCATCGCAAACAGTGAAGATGCTAGTTGTTGCTCTTCCTTTCCTGACTTCTGTAAGGGCTCCACGTTTCAAAGCAAGACACGATGCTGAGGACACAGATGTCATAAGTCGGTATCTTGATCCTTAAAGTCAACTTGATATTATTCCTTGCAGGTTCCCTGAATAGACCTGAGCATGATGCACTCCAAAAGTGTGTATGAAATTCTGCACAAATAGGGGCTGGAATTTTCTCAGCTCCTGCAATGATGTGGACAATGTGAGAAAATTGGGAGAATCATGAGAGATCAGTGGTAAAGAGATTCCCGATGTCAAAAGCAAAAAGTCCCATCTTCCAACCAAGACAAGATTCTTGCTAGTGAGCAGTGAGAGGCCTGTTTGCTTGCATTAGCATCCTTGTTATCATGTCACGTAACCTCGTTGATATGCAGTTTCCCAGTCTTCCACACATTGTATAGAAACAAGACTGCAACAATTCCCAACATGGAAATCAGACTATTACCTGGTGACTCCCACATGCTGCTTGTACGTCCAGCTCTCCATCCTGGACACTAGGCACCAGCATTTCATGGCACACTATCTTGATAGTGACTGTGGCCTACCTGCAATCCACCAGGGCCTCCAAGTCCCTGCTGGCAAAGTGAGGTGGCAGTTTCCCTCTGTTCAACATGTCACTTGCCAGGGACCATGCAGGGCAGCTGCAGACTACAAGTGTTTAACCAGGTGCACAGATGGCACACGGTGCTGGGAATCCCTGGAGGTCCCAGCAGCAGGCAGTAAATACGGCTGTGGCAAGTGGGGAGAATTTAACAAGCAACTCACTGGAGGGTCGTTGTGTCAGTAATGAGGAGAGTTTGGGATGATAGCATGAGAAAACTCTCAGGTTCATGCAGAGAAACCATCCGTGAAACTCATCAAAATTAACACTAAACCAATATTTCGCTGTCCTTCACTGCCACTGGGTCAAAATCCTGGAATTCCCTCCCTAATGGCATTGTAGGTCAACCTACAGCATATGGACTGTAGCAGATCAAGAAGGCAGCTCACCACCACCTTCTCAAGGGCAACTAGGGATGGGCAAGAAATGCTGGCTAGCCAGCGACACCCATGTCACACGTCCCACAACTGAATAAGAAAAAAGATATAAACCATTGTCATGTTATTCTACTAATTTAAATGCTGAACACCTCATAAACTCCTCCTGAGTACACAGA